TCTGTATTTACAGTTACCAGTTAAGGAGTTGTATAAAATGCATCTTATTAAAAAAATGTTATACATGGACCGCCTGATTGAGAAGACAGATCTCGAAATTGAAATTCTCAAACAAAAGCTAGAGGTGAGTGTATAGTTACAGGTGAATTGTATGAATTATTGAATGAATTGTGAAACCTAACAATTGCTTTTGTATTTGTAGGAAATGAAGAAACCCAAATAAAGTATGATTTGCATTTATTCCGTTTCTGTCTTTCATCGGTGGTGATGGTGGTGGTTGTAGATTAATCCCAGAAGACATTACGGCATATCCAATCTCTGACTGCCCTTCCATCCTGGTTATCTGCAGGGTGGATGGGGTCGTCCTCAGGGTCTTGTATTTGTAGGGCAGGGTGTTGCTCCCCTCTAATAATTGCAATATTGTGGAGAACAACACATGCCACAATAATGTCACAGGCCCTCTCAGGTGTTACCCTGAGGTGACGTAGGCAATGAAAACGTGCTTTCAACAGGCCTATGGTCATTTCCACCCGGGCTCTTGTTCTGCAGTGTGCCACATTAAAGCGCTGCTGGGGGCCTGCTGCAGGTTCTGGGTAAGGGGTCATCAGTGTGGGCTGGCATGGGTAACCCCTATCTCCCGGCAGAAAGCCATCAGTCTCTCCTATAAGAAAGTTCACATCACTTTAGTGCTGCATAGCAGTGCTCCTGTAAGTGTGTAGTGCATGCATTGAAATAAGTGTATAGGGCATACATGTACTTACCACATTGCAGCCTGTTACTTAGGGTTGACTCACGATATATTCGTGAGTCATGAACAGAGCCGGGCCACTTGGCCTCCACGTTCGTGATAATATGTGCAGCATCACATATGATCTTGGTGGTGCAGAAAATGATACATGTCAGGTACAGTATTGTGATGTAGTCTTTGACCATTAGAAAGAGTAGTCAGTGTACCTGCACATTAATACTGTGGATGGACCTCCTGTTGACATAGTCCCCTTCATTTTCAGAAGGTGCATTGATGGGAATATGTGTTCCATTAATGCATCCAGCCACATTTGGAAATCCTGAAGGGGATTCTAATTATTAGTTTATTTCCAGAGGTCACATCAAGATGTTATTAACTGATCATCATTTTTCAGATTAGCCTTACTGAAACGAATTCAATACCACTAACCTGCAATCCTGTGAAACTCCTCTTTAATGGCTCTGAGGGGTTTGTGCCCAGGAAACACAACAAAAATTCACAGAAAGCGCTTGAGGGTGAGGCACACTTTCCGAACTATTCTACATACTGTGGCCTTACTAATGTGCTCTGCATCCCCGATGTTATAAAGAAAACTGCCGTTTGCAACAAATCGTAACGCAACACAAAGCATCTGCTCGGATGTAAGAGCACGGCCACGATGGGTGATGTGTCTGATGTATGGGTGGATAAGATTATTGATATATGTTATGGACTCTCTAGACAAACGGTACCGCTCAAATGAGGATATGACAAAAAATCAACTCGTGGCCTCAATATCCTCTCCCGATGTAAATGCAGTTCCCTGCGAATTAATACAGCGTCCTCCTCTACAGGATCCTCTATGAATGGACACGCCATTTTGGTCTCTGCATGACGGAAACGTGTGCAATCTATGAATGTACTGAAAGATTAAATGAGGTATTAAACACCTTTCACTTTAAAAAGGGGCGGAGACCCGGAGGAAACTCTGAGTTTCCCGAACAAAACCTGCTCCCCGGCAGGTTAGGTTGACAGAGTAAGTTGCCGTAGTAACTGACTCTGAGTTTAGATTACCTCTCTTTGTGAAACGGGTTTAACTTACCCCGCTTCACGGGTTTAAGTTACCTCCGTTTCTGAAACCGAAAACTCAGAGTTGCCCTCATTTCGGGGTTAACAAACTCTGAGTTTCGACAAAACCGCCTTTTTGAAATAGGCCCCAGACCCCATCTCTTGAATAATCACATTTCCAACAGGGTCAGTCTCACACATACAATTCAGACTTACGGTTCAAAACACAGCACACAGCACACAACCAGCTAGCAAAACATCGTTAAACAACACATCAGTATAAGTCAGCAAGATCAACACACAACAGGGTAACACATCAGAACACTAACAATTTTACAACTGCTCTCCGAACTAATCACTGAACTCCCATGATGCCCCCATGCATCATGTCGCTGCCACCAGACCCCTCCCCAATAGCCGACGTAGGTCGTCACACAACCCCCACCCAAGAGAATCTACTGCACCTACTGGTAACTTGTATGCCATGTAGCAATAAAGAATATACTAAAAACCTGGATTATTCTGGTTAGTCACATTGTACTGCTATTATTTTGAACAATACTGTAGATCTTAGTAAATGTTATTAAAGCGGCCTTGCATGATTAGACATTTTCAGTATGTTTTGCATGTAAAGATTGACTTTGTTGTATCACCATTATTCCTATTACAGTTCAGATATCGCTCCTATATTCCAAACATGTTAAGTGTTCTTGACTTGTGGGTGGGCCATAGTGATTAGGGGAGGCGACAGTGGTGCAGTGGTAGAGCAGTCGTTGCCCAACCAGATTGAAGATTGAAGGTTCAAATCTCAGTACTGGCAGTCCACATGTCCTTGGGCAAGACACTGAACCCCCCTGTTGCCCCCGATGGCTAGAGCCATTGGTTGAGGTGGTGCTGCAGATGGCTGCCATCGGTTCTGTACAAGAAACAAATTCTGTGTGTAACATACTTGGCCAATATAGGTGATTATCCTTATTACAGAAAGTAAAGTGTGAAACAAAGGATAAAATAATTTATTTTACCTTTTTTCTTTGTTAAGACAAAAAATTCCATCTTAAACTTCAGGGCCAGGCCCACATCAGCTGAGATGCCCTGCTACCTAAATGTAGAGTCTCAAAGTGGGCAGTTCAGTTTGAGATTGTTAGTCTTGTGTTTTTGCATATTTTGCTTTTTTTGTCATTTGTTGTAGGTTTTGTGTTTTTCCTTTTTGTGACGAGCCTCTGTGCATCAGAGATAATCCAGTCTGACTCTCTGGCAGGCTCACTTCATTTGTTATGTAGTTGATTTTCATGAGCATTTAACTTCAGAATGAAGCTGTCATATTGTTTTACTGTACGTCATGAAGACACAATAATTTTTGTTTGTTAGAGATTTATATTGTTTGTGAGATGTCTCAGTCATCACTGACTTTTTACAAGTGAAACATTTTAATATTAAAAAATGTAAACATACAGTCTTGATCAAAGGGCTATATCACAAAAGCAGAATTGTGAAATCCAAGATAGGACGAATGGAGACTTGACCTAGTCTCCAAAGTGCCTCCGGCTGAATACGTTTCACAAAGGCTAAGCGAGGTTGAACACCAGGCTCATACAAGAGGGAATATGGAAGGAAGAAGGGCCAGCATGGCTAAGTTAAAAAATAGAAAGAATAAAATTAAAAATAAAGTTTCACCCTGAATTGCTGCTACAAAAAAATGCCTTGTATGTTGAAAGCAGAACAAAGTCCGACTTACGTTTCCAACCGGAACGTCACAGTGTGACATCTGGCGGAAGTAAACAGCACTAGCAGCGATAGCTTTGTAGATGAATGGGGTTAGTTGAAAACGGTTGTCTTTTTTTATCGTAGATGTATATTTAGTCTGTAACAAATCAACAATGTCTTCAGTTCAGTATCTGAGAGAGTTCGTCACCGAGCGACTAACTGCTGCTGCTGAGGAAATATTCGGAGTCTTTGAAAAAATTATCTATGAGGAAGAGATCGATCGTCAGCGCAGACTGCTGGATATCGTTTGGAAACCAGAAGTAAAGCTACACAGAATAGGTCTGTAAAAGACGAAAGAATTTAACGAAACTAACACAAAGACTCAAACTAACACCGGTGACTCAGCATAATGTAGTTTCTTGTTCAAATTTCCGTTTTTCTGTGACGTGGCTTCTTATTCGTAAGCTTCTGTATAAAAATGGCATGGTTATCTTCAGATCGTGGTACAGTGACCGATGTGTAGTTGCAAAATCTGCTAATATATGGATTAAAGAACGTTTTATTATAAAATTGAACAAGGAATTTGCTGTTAAGTGATTCATTTGCTCTACAGTGGATTCAGAAAGCACTGACCCCTTTATTTTTGCTCATTTTATTGTGCTGTAGATTCCATTTCTACCCATCATTATACACTTAATCACCCATGGTGACAAATGTAAGCCATGGTCATAGAGTTGTCTGCAAATGATTCGAGAATTAAAAACCGATATCTTTTGCTCTCAAAAGTATTCAACCCTTCATTTTGTTCTTTGTAGCAGCCCCTTTGGCAGCAATTACAGCTGCATGTCTTCTTGCATACATCTGTACAAGCTTTGCACACCAGGATTTGAACAGTTCGCCATTCTTCATGGCAGATCCTCTTATGGTCTATCAGATTGTATGGCGAGCATTGATGTACTGCTGTCTTCCGATTTTTCCACAAATATCTGATGGGGTTTAAGTCTGGGCCTTGCCTGGGCCACTCAAGGGCAGTCCGAAATTAACATCTGCCAGGCAGCAAATGCGGGTAGATTTTCCATTTGGCGTGTAAAACTCAGAAGTCTACTTGCTACACTGGCTGCTACATGTTTGTAGCAAAATATTCATGTAATAAACCGTATCCTCAGAGTCTTTTATGGGCACCGTGCTTCCCTGTGTGCCAGAGTTTGACACACACACACCTATGTAAAGCCACAGTTACCTACTCCGAAGCACCTGATCTGAATGAATGTAAAAGGGCAATGTATCAGAATGAATGTCTTAATGACATAAAGGCCTGGATGACCTGTAACTTCTTACTTCTAGCCTCTGACAAAACCAAAGTCATTGTGCTTGGGCCTGAAAACCTTAGAAATCTGCTGTCTAATCATATAGTTATTTTAGATGATGTAGCTCTACAGTACTACTGTGAGGAACCTTGGAGTCATTTTTGACCAGGATATGTACTTTAAATCACACATAAACCAAGTCTCTAGAACTGCCTTGTTTCACCTGCGCAATATTGCGAAAATCAGGAGCATCCTGTCGCAAAGTGATGCTGAAAAATTGGTCCATGTATTTGTTACTTCCAGGCTGGACTACTGTAACTCTTTATCAGGATGTCCCAATAATTCCCTAAAAAGCCTCCAGTTAATCCAAAATGCTGCAACCAGAGTACTGACAGGAACTAGCAAGAGAGATCATATCTCTCCTATATTAGCTTCTCTCCACTGGCTCCCTGTAAAATTCAGAATAGAATTTAAAATCCTTCTCCTAACATACAAAGCCCTTAATGACAAGGCTCCATCGTATCTTAAAGACCTCGTAGAGCCTTATCATCCCAACAGATCACTTCGCTCTCAGAGTGCAGGTTTACTTGTGGTTCCTAGAATCCACAGAAGTAGAATGGGAGGCAGAGCCTTTAGCTATCAAGCTCCTCTCCTATGGTACCAACTCCCAGTCTCAGTTTGGGAGGCGGACACCCTCTCTACCTTTAAGATTAGACTTAAGACATTCCTTTTTGATAAAGCTTATAGTTAGGGCTGGATCAGGTGACCCTGAGCCTTTCCTTAGTTATGCTGCTATAGGCCTAGGCTGCTGGGGTGTGTCTCCTCTCTCCCGTAGTGTGTCCTCTCTCTCTCCCTGTACCTTTCTGTAGGTTGCTCTGGCTCTGGAGCTCTATGTTTCTGATGAGCAGTCACCGGTTACATCAACCTGACCAGTGTTTGATTGTTTGTTGTGTCTTGTTGCTTTTCTTCTTTTGTCTTTCCTCTATCAACTCACCCCAACCGGTCAAGGCAGAAGGCCGCCCACCAAGAGCCGGGGTCTGTCGGAGGTTTCTTCCGTTAAAGGGAGTTTTTCCTCCCCACTGTCGCCAAGTGCTTGCTCAAGAGGGTTTTGTTGGGTTTTCCCTATGTAATAATAGTGATAACAGTAAGGTCTAGACCTGTGATTTGGCGCTATACAACTAAAATTTGATTTGATTTGAATGTAAAAACAAAGATGAGTTATATTCACTGAAAAATAATAGAGAGGAGACTTTATGGCAAAATGAAATGTAAGTTGACCACAGGAATGACCTGTCCATCAACAATCAGTGTCTGGATGAATGCTTATGTGATTGGCAGCATCTCTGAGCTAATCAAACAGCTAATTGGATATTTCTCTATACCACCAAGTCAGGACGATAGTCATTGATAAGATCAGCCTCCACAAAGAATACATGACGTAGGTCATAACTTTGTTAGAGAGCAGATCTTAAGGGGTGTAACAATGGAGATAGCAGAATGTAGCCCATTTCAAAAGAACCTGCTAATATAGCTAATATTGTACATACTGAATTTGCTAAACTACGTTAGCCAAGGAAGCTAGAACACAGTAAGATGCGCAAAGACTAGAGGGGTCTAAATACTTTGAATCCACTGAAAACGACCAATGTCCTCTACTCTAATAAGTTAATGAATAAGAAGCATCACTCTTTTGTTTCTCATCACATCGGTGACCTGTTCCTTCCTTTGTCCCTTCAGAGCTGCCACAGCAACATTTCTGTCAGGAGGAGGAGGAGGTTCTGGCTGGCCAGCAGCTCTGGAACCAGGAGAGGAACTCCAGGCTGGACCAAGAGGACCCAGAGCCTCGACAGATTAAAGAGGAACAGGAGGAACTCTGCAGCCGTCAGGAGGGAGAGCAGCTTGAACTGAAGCAGGAGACCGATCCCTTTATGTTGACTCCTACTTATGAGGAAAGGGACCACGGTGAAGCAGAACCAACCAGTGACCAGCAGCTCCTCTGTCACAGCTCTGCTGTAGCTGAGAGCCAGGATCAGGAAGGAAGCCAGCATGGAGACTCAGGATCAGCTAGTAATGCAGAGCCAAAGCCAAAGAGGAGACGTCACAAAGACACAAATCACAATAGCAATGTGGACACCTCTCCTGTGTCAGAGGCTCACTGTGTCACTCACACAGGTAAAAAATCTTTACAGTGTAACACTTGTGGAAAAACATTTGATTTTAAGTTCAATTTGAAAAAACATCTGAGAATCCACACAGGTGAAAAGCAGTATTGTTGTGAAACCTGTGGGAAAAGTTTTAGGTCTAATGTCGACTTGTCTGAACACAAGAGTGTCCACACCAGCCAGGATCAGGAAGGAAGCCAGCATGGAGACTCAGGATCAGCTAGTAATGCAGAGCCAAAGCCAAAGAGAAGATGTCACAAAGACACAACTCACAGTAGCAGTGTGAACACATCTCCTGTGTCAGAGACTCACTCTGATCCTCCCACATATAGAAAGTCTTTAAAGTGTGACACTTGTGGAAAAACGTTTAGGTACAAGTCCAATTTTAATAGACATCTTAGAAGTCACACAATGGAGAATCAGTATTGTTGTGAAATGTGTAAGAAAATTTTCAGATATAACAGTGTCTTTTTGATCCACATGAGGACCCACACGGATGAGAGGCCGTATGTTTGCCATACCTGTGGGAAAGGATTCAAACTGTTAGCACATTTGGATGGTCATTTACGAACCCACACAGGTGAGAGGCCATATGTTTGCATGACCTGTGGGAAAGGGTTTAAGCAGTCATCAGCTTTGAAGGTGCATTTAAGAATTCACACAGGTGAGAGGCCTTATTCTTGTAAAACATGTGGGAAGAGTTTCAGAACCAGCAGTGGCCTTTTCATCCACATGCGAACCCACACAGGAGAGAGGCCATATTTTTGTAAAACTGGGGAAAACGTTCACACTAAAGAGTAGCTTGTCGATTCACCTAAGAACCCACACAAGTGAGAGTCCATATTCTATAAAATGTGGGGGACGTGACAGTCCATACAGTTGAAAAGCCAAATTCCTGCAGCACCTGTTGGAAAGGATTCTGCACAACGATGCACTTGAAAAAACACAAGTGTTTGCTTTTGACTGACATGAAGTTACCAGTAACACCACAGCAGTTCAGATTATAACTCCAGGGAACCCTTTCTACCTCCACTATCTAGCAGTTCGCTGAAATGTGCATTGTGATGGAGTAATATTTGTAATTACATAATCAGCAATGTCTTAAGTTGAAACATGATGAGCTTCACAGTATGAAATGTTTACTGTTGGTGTCTTAATTCAGTTGGTATAATTAGGTTGTATTAACTTAGATGTGTTTACATAAGATCACTGTAAATGTAGAGCTTTTAATGTAACCAATTATTGTTTAATATTCCTTGATAATTTCAGTAAAATAAAAACTTTATTCACTACCAACTCCTGTGTTCTAGATAAAGACATTATTATCCATTTATCAGATAGTCTGAGAATCATTTGTGCTTGAATAGGAGATGTTCACTTGCGTGTATGTGTACGCCATGATTCAGCCATTTCTCTACTAGAAATTATGACATGTTTTTTTTCACTGTGTTGTTTATGTCAAGTTCTGGTGAGACCAATTGGTCTCATATAGTAGTTAGACTTCTAGTTGGATTCCTTAATATTTTGATAAAGTTAAAGTCAATATTCCCTCTTGGTCTCTCTGGGTGTGGCTGACCCAAGAGTGTCAGATCTGCAGCCAACCCCCGCAGGTTGCTGCCTTTTAAAACTGGACAACTCAAGTTTCAGATTTCGTTTCTTCGTGCCCTTTTTGATCCTGTGGTGCCTCCTTTGTTTACTTTTATGGGTCCGGACCCTCGTCTTTTGTCTGCCTCCAAGACCAGCCAGATGTCATATAGACAGATTCATACTAAGTCTCATTGTCCAGTCGTCCACAAGTTTTCCTCTATTTGCAGTTAATAACTTTCTTCTTCATTGGTCCTAAATCAGTCATTTCCTCTCACCACAACTTTATCAAGTTAAACTTACCAGGTTAAATCAGTCCAGACTGTTCTGTATGTCAGCCATTTTCAATCTTTGTTCTATCACATTTGAACTGCATTTGTATTCACTTTGTTTTTGGATTAATAAATTACATAAAATTCAGTTCTGCCGTCTTGTTCTTTTCTGTTGTGAAATTATGAAGTCACTGTATAGAGAAATCACTCTTCACGCTGAAGATTGCTCATGTGATTAGTCATTTATGGATGATTAATTGATCACAATAATTACATTAAATCATGGCACAAAGCGGACCTGCTGCTCGAATCACGTTTCTGAAACATCTGAGGCAGAAGCTGATCATCTCCAGCAGCTGAATACTAATAACTACTGACTAATAACAAGTGTAATATCAACACTGATTAACTCCTCAAACATTAGTCACAAGATCAACAGAAAAGTCCACAAAAACTGTTTAGCACTCAGCAACACAAGGCACAACTTTTCTTCTCCTTTGAGACAAAGACACTGCTAACTGGGAGGGAGATGGCAGGCTGGGCGATGATGGGCATTTGGCCTCATAATGCTAGTGGCTGTGTATGGAGACCACAACCCTCCAGAGGTGGACACCGACATTTACCACAGTGTCTTTAACAGCAAGAAGACTGGGATAGTGAAGTGCTGAAACAGTTGTGCTGGAGACAAAATATCCTCAAAGAGGGGAAAAAAACCCATAAAAGACAGAAATGCTAGATCAATTCTGGAGGAATTTGACTGAGCAGGGACTTACAAGTTCTGCAATGACACAGTGTTTGTTTTAATGTTGTGCAAATTGTCTCCAAACCACTTGATTTAACAATCGTGACACCAAATACATCGTTCAACATCACAGGCCATTTAGTGACCGGTTTCACATGTCACATATCTGGGATGATTTTTGCTACATCTGCTGTTGCTCATGTATGAATCAAGTGTAACGTTAAGTAGAAGGTGCTTTTCATGTTTCATACTGGTTAAACTATTGTCCAAGCTCCATGGTTAACAGACAAAAATTTTAGTTTGAGTCATTTATATTTACTTGATGCCAGATCATCAGAGGCTGGCTCTACTGTTATGGCCTGTGGTTCTTGGGCTTTTTGGTTATACCGGGACCCGTTTTTACAGATTTGCCAACACTGTATTTAAACTGTGGTGTAAAATTTACAAATAAAACCCTATAATGAGCTCATAAAAAATTCCTTAATATAATGTCTATAAATGTGTGAATGAAGTAAAACATTCATATTTATTTAAAATTTGTTTGTATTTCTTTTTCCTTTGCTTTCTCTTTTATGTCTCAGTTTAAAACTGAACTCATGTCCACCTCACGGCGAAGGCATTGTTATGGTAGTTAAGTTACAGTTAAGCTGTCCCTGGTAGGTTAGTGGTTAAGGCGCAGCGTTCTCACTGCTGCAGCCCGGGTTTGAATCCAAGTTGCTTCAGGAAGGGCATCTGGCGTCAAACATGTGCCAAATGTCAACATGCAGGTTGTCAGTGTGACGATTTGCTGTGGTGACCCCTAAAAATGGGAAAAGCCGAAAGTGACTTTCATTCTGTGCCTAATATAAAGAGGTTATTTGTTTCTCCTGTTGAGGGCAGTATAACATCTCATGGTGCATAACCTGGTAGTATATATGCTTGTGGTGGTTACAACAAATAAACAAATCGTTATAATTGCAGTTACAATAATATAGCTACAAGTTAATATGAAATAAAGTGTGTAGATTACACACAGACATTACAGGAGTAGTTAGGTCACAGTGAACTAAAAAAAAAAGCTTTCATAACTTCTGCAAGTTTTTCTCTGTACTTTGTGGACTAATGTAAACTGTTTGTGCGTGTTGGAACAGGAACAGCATGGAAACGGACAGTTCGACCTGGCTCGCTGAAAAAAAAACATAGACGAAATCATCTGGATGTAGTTTTAGGTAGAAGACGTTTCACCTCTCATCCAAGAGGCTTCATCAGTTCTGTCTGACCTAGTGGTAGAGGAGGCTAAGTCAGAGCTACAGGCCTGCTTTGACTGCACAGACTGGAGTGTATTTGAGTCTGCAGCTACAGACCTGGATGAACTCACTGACACTGTGACATCTTATATTAGTTTCTGTAAGGATGTGTGTGTGCCCAAAAAGACCATCTGCACATTGTTAGGTGTTTTTAGTCAGATAGATATTGGTTAGATACTTGATGTATTAGAAATGTTTAGAGTAGACAGGGTGTCTAGCTCAGGCTGTTAAATGCTTAGGCATTCTCATGAGTGCTGGAGGTTGCTTATGGTCAAGGATAACTAGATAGAAAGTTGATGACTGTTAGAAGACAGGATGTTTAATATTATTATTATGAAGTGTATAACTGTAGCCATAGCTATAATATTTTCTTATGTTTAATGTCATGACATGTCACTAGAGGTCGTGTTAGAATGTTTTTAGCTACACACCACATAATCAACAGACATTCACA